CTAATTTTAGCTCTCTCTGCTCTACACCAGGTAATTCCACATAAAATACATACATATGAAGTGTGCAGGCAGATGTGGTCTGGAGGTTCACTTGTGTGTGGATTTAATTCCCTCCTGGAAAGTGCTGAACCTGTGCAGTCCAGCATTTTCAGGACCTTGCAGGCCTCTCATCTGCCTCTCATGCAGTGTATCTGTCTGTGGAAGGCACATGGGACATTGCAGCTCAAGCACTAAAGTCCACCAAAAAAATTCAGAAAAATTATTCCTCAACTCAAAAGGGATTAATTTTTTTTAACAAACCCCTGTAGATGAGTATTAATTTCTCCTTAAGTGATCATTCCAGAAGGCTAGAGGGCTATTTATTGAGACTAAACACAGACAGGGATTATTGAAAAAGGGTAATTAGCCTCATTTTTGTCCTTCTTGGTCTGTGATTCCCCAGAGCTAACATTAAGATGGTGTGGAAAGTTTTAGAACTGTGTCAGGTCTAAACTAGGGCAGGTTTCCCAAGGAAGGAGAGTGTCCTGAGTACAAATGGTAAAGAGCTGGCATTTTCCACAGCTTCCACTCTTGTTCTCCCTTTCTCAGCAGGAAGGTCAGGGATAGAGTAACTTTGTGCTGCTGTGAGTAAAGATTTTAACTGTCTTCTCTGCTGTAAATCCCCTTATTCCCAAATACCAACATGTGCTTTCTCAGCCTGATGTGCACCAGGTGTTTTGGTTAGGAGAATGTAGCTGTGTTGAGCCACCTGGGGGTAAATTGGAGGGATTATGGCACTTGGGATGCATAAGGTTACTATTGCACAGCAGAGTACAGATAATTAGCCTGCAAGCCTTCTTGATATGCCTGTTTGTCTTTCCCAGCTTGCCCTTATCCTGCCTCATTTCCCTTCTGTGCAAGGATGAAGCTCTGTGGTGCACTTCTCCAAGGGCTTGCAGGGCACCTTGCAGCTCAGTGCTGAGCTGGGCACTTTGCTAGTGCACTGCAGCCTTGGCATCCCTTACACAACTTCTGTTTCTGGCCAGCAGGACTGGATTCAGCTGTGCTGGAGTGGAGGCACCTGGGCACCACACTGGGGCAAGTCCTGGGTTGTGGGTGTTGTGTTGTGCCATGGTGTGATGGGTTGGGTCCCTCCTCCCTGGTAGCTCTACACCAGGTGTAAGACCAGTGTGCAGCAGACAAGCTGGTGTGTTAGACTCACTGCCACTGAACTAAAGCATGAAAATTTGGGTTTAATCCCCTTCTGCAGATTAGCTGGAGCTGTCAGCATAATGCTTATTCCAGCATGTATTCTTTCTTCTTTGTAGCAGTTTATGTGGCTAAGGGCACTGCTGGGAGCAGATCAACCACTTGCTCTTAATCTGCTACATTTCAGTACTGTAAGTGCTCTGTGGAACCCTTTCTGGGACAGCTTGACAGCAGGTGTTGTCTTCATGTGGTTTGTGCCCAGCATACATAACCTGGAGCCTTTTCCATGCACTTAGGTTGCAGCATTTCAGTTGATAACTGTAAAAGGAGGGGTGGTAAGTTCTTCAGTAGAAGTTGGAACTTCCTGCCACTGGGCAGGAAACCAGCAGGCTGAGTGGGTATGGCTATGCCTAAATGTTTGGCTACCACTTTGAGCTTGGTTCAGAGATTAAGGGTTTTAAGAAGGAGATCTCTAAGTATTCAGGGCATTTAGTGATCCAGTTTCTAGTATGTTTTCCTTATAATAACTTCTAAATATGGAAGACATTTCTATTTTATAGTTGCACAACACCTTGTACAGTATCATCATCTATGCTACCAGGCTCTGGCATGGTCCAAAAAATTAATAACTGTTCTATGTGTTGGAAGTCTTATTATGCAGTTTAATAGTATAGCAGTGTAATGAAATCTCCGTGGCAAAGTGATGAGAGTGAGTGGTTTTGTGTGTGAATTACAGGGCTGCAAGTGGGGAGACACTAGCTACTTGTTTTATTGCTGACAATATACTTATTTTCATGTTTAGTCCTGGATTACAATGTGTGAATAGCATCCCAGTAAACAGTCAGGCAAATAGTTATTTATCAAGTATTTAAAAGTGAAAGGTCTTGTAATTTTCCTTAGTAATGACTGTGATTTCTTCCAGCTGAATTAATTACTCCCATTTCTCCCCATGAAGAACAAGAATTGTTTTGGTTTCTACATGCAGAGAGTTATTGTCTCCCATAATAATGCAGACCAGAGGATTTCTTTTTCCTTCCTGGCCTGGGATCTGGGAAAGGTTGAAATGTGCATAACCTGAATTAATACCTTGTAAAGCTCTTTAATACTCTTCCGTCATTCCTGTTGGAGTGGTGCAGGAGTTGCTGCTGGCATCAGCCCAGCAGCCGCCTGCCTCAGAGCAGCTTTTGTTTCAGTTTATGAGGCAGTAAGTGGGTCTTGTGATGGGATTGCCTTGAAAGGTCACTTTTAATTACATTTCTGTCGCATTCCTCTGTCCCCAGCTGGGCAGTCCTGGTGGAACAGGTTGCATGCAGCTTTGCAGCTAAATTTCTGCAGCGGACAACTCCAAAAATATACAGGCCAAAGGGAGCAAAGAAAATGGAACTAATTGTTGTATTTTTGCCTAGCCATTGTTACTGGTATCAGAGGTGGAGGAGGGTGTGAGAATTGAAGCATAAGTAAACCCTTGGTAGCAACCTGTCTTGTACCCTGGATAGCTGAAGTGTCTGTCCTTGAAGGCCTGTGCCAGACTCTGCCTGTGCATCATGTGCTTTCTGCTTTCTCACCCTTTCTGGGATTGAGCATCTCCTGTTCCAAGAGCTGTGGCTTGTAGTTCTGGTCCAACCAAGAGTATGCTAACTCTGTCAGAGTGCAAATCCCTAGAGCAGTTTCTCATTTTAGCCTTGTGCCTTTCTTTTCCTCATCAGTTAGTTCTGTTTCCAGGCTGGAGAAGGCTGAAGATACACAGCAGGTTAAGGCCAGGGGCCCAGTGCTGAGATCTCAGCTCTGCCACTGGCTTTGAAGACTTGCTCACTGTTGTGCTGCACCTCTTGGTTGCCTCCTGCACACTTGAGGTTGCCTGATGTTTCTCTCTGTGGCTCATGTGCTTCCTGCGTGCCAGGGAGCATGGCACAGCAGTGCAGGGGTTGACAAGAGGAGAGGGACTTTGCCAGGAGCCAGCACTGCAAAGTACACAAGAGAGGGTGCTGCTTCTCAGCTTGGCAGGGGTCAGAGCTGGCTGTTTAGATGCTGCATTTGAAAATAAATAGACTGTGTGATTGCATTGATCTGAACTCAGCCTCATGGTTGGGGGGAATTCTGTCTTATTGCTGCATGAAGACACTAAATTTATCCTGTCAGCTGAAATCCATGGATGTAGGGTAACCTTTGGTGTATGACTGATACGTGACATGACCACTGCTGCCAAGGGCTGTGACTGGATGGTGTGTTTGGGGTAATCTAAACTGTGATGATGCTGTAGCAAGTTTGGTTTTTTTTCTTCCTGAAGTGCTTTTCTCCTTTTCCTACCCCATCCCTTACCTATCTGATCAGCAAACACTTCTAAGTATTCATAGTGTGGGATTGTCTCTATCCACATGACTGCCATGGTTTGAAAGGCATGTGACAATGCTGGGGAGAAATGGGGTTAATCTCCTCCTGCACTGGCAGAACAAGGCTGAGCAGTTGTACAGCACAGGCATTTATTCTTGTGCCTTTTCCACTGCATTTGCAGTCTGTGGAGAAGGAGGAAGGAGGTTTCAGATGCTGATTCACTGTCAGGATGGAGATGTGGATGCACTAGTTGTCTGCAAGTGAGATTTCAGGACATCAGTGCCTCCAGGGTTAACAGATAACTCTCTGTCACCTTCCTTGATGCCAGCCCAGCAGAAACCTATTTGGGGCTGCAACTCCTGGGGTTTCTCCATGACTGTTAGCCAGTTCTTTCATGGAAGTTATGGGGTCAGGTTGGTGGGTAGGAAGCAAGCAGTGATTAGCCTGACTTGTAGCCAGGGGAGACCCCATGGCCAGCCAGGCTTTCAGCCTCTCATCAGCATATGGTGCAGACCAGGAATGAGCCTGCACATCTTTGCTGGAGCTGATATACAGCCAGAGGCCCAGGATGCAGGAGGGTGAGATGGAGGATTGTTTCTTCTGTGCTGACTGAGCTGTGGGTCAGGCTGCCTCTGTGCCCATAGAGCTGTGGGGCCCTGGAGAGGCTCACAGGCTTGTGCTCCATGGGAACAAAATTGTTAGCTTGGCAAATCAGGGCAACCTCATTAAGAGCTACTGAGAGTGTGAAAAGCATGTTGCTGGAGGCAGGTCATGGTAAATGAGGGGGCTAAAGTAGCTGGGGTTTTCTAACAATTAATTATTGAATGGTTTTCTAGAGATTCTTTCTCATGTTTATAATTCATTCCCTGCTGTAGATGCCATATTGATTTATAATTTTTTGAAGTTCAATATTTTGCACCCTCAGGGCCTCAAACAAAAATTACCTAGAAAATGAGAGTAAATTTCTACATTCTGCCTTGTCAGAGCTTTCTCTCCCGTTGCCCATTCCCAGAGCCAGTTTCCATGCTCTGGTTTGGGTTGCAGATGTTGCCAAGCCTGTGTGCTGTGAGACATGGGTGGCAGAAGAGCTGCCTCACTGACCAACAAATGAGAAAATCAAGAGCCCAATTAAGAGCCTGGAATTGCCCCCAGTGACCTGAGGAGAGCATTTAGTAGCTGCTAGTGAGACAGGCCTGTTCGAATGAATAAGCATTCCAGTTTGTTGGAAAGAATAAACATCCCCTCCTCCCCCAGCTCTAATTAGCAACTCTTTTTCTTTTTTCTGCCATGAATGTAAAGGGTTTGTCACTGGAATGAAATCTTAACAAGATGTATATTCAGCTTGCAGCTGATGAAGGTGATCTCTATGCAGGGGATGTGGAGACTCTTGTACCTGTTTTCTGTTTCCTTGATGGATCTTTGATTTTACTGTTGAGTACAGCTCTTCCTTACCATCTGATTTTCCTCTTTTCTTCCAACAGGGTGACTAAAGAAGTAGACTCAAACTCAAAAGAAGCTAAATCTTTTCTGAAGCAGCAAGAGAAACTGCAGTCAGCAGCTCCGGCTTCCTTGCCGACAGTCTCGGGGTGAGTGTGGGATTTCCTTGCCTGGGTATGGGCCCTTAGTGAGGAAGATGGCACTGGAGCCAATAGTGCAGGCTCTGCAGTATTTAATGGGTGTTTGTTTTCTGCAGGATTTCAGTGGGAGCAAGACTAGGCCTGGAAGGTGTGATGATTTGGGCTGGAGGGAAGCGGGGGAGGCAACCTGTGAGTTCCAGTGACTCACTTCATAGGTTCAGGCTCAAATTTTTTAATCCTCATAAATCATTCATCCTAGTAAGGAAGTAGCGATTTGAGTGTCTCAAGCAGCCTGATGAAACTGCAGGTAGCCAGGGAACATTCCTGAGATTGCCTGCAGTTCCCTTGACAGGTGCTTCTCAGGACTATAAAAAGCCATGTCAGGCTGGGCTGTGGCTTCTTAGAGATTTCGGGTGAGCATTTAAATGAGAGATGTTTTTGCCTCTTTGATGTTCTCTAATATAATTTTTATGTGGATTTGTCACTTTTCTGTTCAAGCTCTAACACCTAATTCTGAGATTATCATAATGCTTGTCAAAGATACAAGGAGGTCGGGTCTCCTGTGTATCTGGCATGCCAGTCTGGTTCTTGATGAGCTTGGGAGAGCACCAGCTTCTTAGGAATAGAGGAGATGCTTCTGTGTTCCAGTGATAATTTTTATTTAAGTCAGTTGTTTGCATTTATATTTGAAAGACATAAGCTGCATATGATTTGATCACACAGAAACAATACCCATCAAATAAATATATTGTCCTTCCCATCTGCTTAGAGCAATTCTCCAGCGTGAGTTAAGGCTGCCTTTCCCTGAGATGGTGTTATTCAGTTGCTGCAGCTGGATTGTCACTCATTTTTCCAGCTAAGTGTTGCATAGCTTGTACTTGGCTCAGGGTAGTGAAAGCATAGTGTGTGTGTGTGTGTGTGCATGACCCTTGACAGCTGCTGTTCTCTGAGCTGAATGAAGGCATAGATGAGCATAGTCTTCATGCTCTTGTTCATACTGCACAAGGGTTCGTCCCTGCAGAGCTCATTAATTGTAACCTGAGTGTTGTGTACAGGGTTTTGTGCTGGAAAACTTGCCTTGGGTTGGGCTGGCATTCTTTGTGCAGTTTTGGTGGCTGAAGTTTGTTCGAGTGGCAGCTGAAGCTGGGGCAGCTCCTCACTGTGCACACTGCTGGTGGTCCCATGTCTTCAAAGCTGCCTTCCAGTCTGCTGTTCTGAGTTTGGCAGCCCACTGGGAAAGCTCCAAAGGCTGTTCACCTTCCAGTTCAGCAGTGATCCATGTTTCCTCCTGTGTCTTACAGGCCCAGGGGAGGAGCTGAATTGCCAGTGGGCTTGTGCAGCCTGCTCATTTCCAAGGGTCATGGTTTCTTTTGCTGGTGCTTGGATTGCACAGGAGTAATAGCCACAGCTCAGTTTGAATTCATGTTGCAGATATCTGAAGAATTCACATCAGATATGGAAAAAAGTAGACTAAAAATCAATATAAGAAATAATGAGTTCAAGGACTTTAACTTTCCTTCAGTGAGATTATTTTGGAAGCAGCCTAATTAGGTCATTGTTCAGCTTGCTGATGTGTGATGTCCTACTGACAGTTGCTTGGCCAGAACACGAGGTGACCTGGCTGTGGAGAAGGGTGGCGAAAAATATCCTGGGCCTTTATGTCTTGCCTTTCTTCAGAGCACCGAACCCCAAAGCTGCACAGCCCCAAATGCTTTCCCTTTCATAGCCTCCTGCAGTGCATCCTGGCTTTGTGCAGGATCCTATGGCAGAGGAACAGCAGTGGTGTTTGGATCAATGTGTGGAACAGCCCAGCTCTCTTGAGGCTTTAGCAGGAGGTTCTCTGGGGCAATCTGGCCAGCATGGGCCCTCTGATCTGAGAGTGCTCCAGGGAGTCTTGGGCTAGTATCAAGACTGATCCCTGAGACTGCCAGTAAACATGCTTGCCTTTGGGCTTAGGAAGATGCTTCCAGCTGGGAAGCCAGCCAGGGTATTTTCAGGTGAGAAAATTATTAGCAGGCTTGTGGTATTCCTTAAAGCCAGGGGCAAGCCCCATATGTTCAGCAAATTACAAAGGTCAGGTTTTAGACTTGAGGCAAGCTATCCAGACCCTGCTGCTTTGGAGCAAAGAGTCACAAGCCTTGGTGACATGCCAGAGCAGTGCTTGGAGAGTGACAGAGCCTGGCATAGCCTGACAGTTCTTTGCACCTTTTGTCTACTTAAAATAGAAGTTTTGGGGGAGCAGGTACATTTTTCTCTTGTGCATTATGGGAGAGCCCCAGTCTATTGCCACAAGGCAGTGAAAAATGTGATTTTGGGATCTTAGCTGTGCCTGTGGACACCCACTGTGCTGTGAGCCATTGTCAGCCCCCAAGAGCTTTGTCAGCTATTAAAAAAAAAAAAAAAAAAAGCCTTGCCCTGTGTGCAGGGAATTTGAGCAGTTAAGAGTGGCCTCTCCATCTGGCTTTTCTTTCTTCACCTTGCAAGCAGCATGTATTATTTCTGAATGCAGCCAGCCTACCCTTATGTAGGCTGCATTTATTGAATTTCCCTTCTCTAAACAGACAGAAGTAACCCTGAAAAGCAGTGGTCACAAAACCAAACATCCGGCTCCACGTCCCCGTGTTACAAACCCTTACAAACTAACTGGTCCAGGGGAGGGGATGTTTGGGGCTGAAAGTGCATTTCCTGGATGTGTTTAACATCCATACCGGATGTGCTATAAAAAGCTAGATTTGTGCTTGTGAGGGACATGGGGGTGGTTGCAGGAGAATAACTTAAACACTTGGCTGTAATTAAAGCCAGGAGTACAAAACAACCCACCCAGTTCTCTCAGCAGGCTTTGCTAGAAAGGTCAGAAGCCCTTGGTTCCCAGGGATGTGATGGTTTCCCAGCCTTCACATTATTCCCATCGTGTCCCCCTGTGACACACAGCTAGGCAGTGTTCTGTCAGCAGCGGTTATCGGTTTGTTGGAGGGGTTTGGGGTTGTGATACTCTGTTCCAGTTGTTTCTGTTGTTCTCTTGGGTTCTGTTAGGCTCTTGCTGATGCAGTCAGAGGTATCAGATGTGGTGAGGGAAACCACTGATTTCTTCTTTCTTGCTACCCCAATAAATGGGTGGAAGGCTCCCAGCATCTAGAAAAAGCCCCTTCACCCACCCATCTAAGCCTTCTTGTCTGTGTGTTTTAGGGCTCATTTCCTGTCCTTAACCACTGCTCCAGGACCTTTTGGGGAAAGAAAGAGTAGATCGTGGCTGTAAATTAAATTACCTGATGGAGGGATCTGTGGGCATTCCTGGTACTCCAAGAGATGCTTTTTGCCCTCTCCCCAGGCCAGGCAGGACCTGTGAGGAGGGCCCATCATCTCTGTGCTAGCAATCCCATTTTACAGCAGCATTTCATATTCAGAGGATGTTAAAGCAAATTAAATCCTCCAAGCAGCTTACTGCAAAATGACTCTGTGCATGTACTTGTGAGACTCAACAGGGGTTGAGCTGCAGGCTGGGAAAGCCCCGCACTGACCCAGCCCTGCGGTGGGAGCAGCTGCGATCTGCCCATCGGTCCTTGCTGCTTGTCAAAGCACAGTGACATTGCCCAGGGAATAGTGGTGCTGTAGCAGTCCTGAAAATGGAAAAAAATGTGGTTGGTGGATCTTATTTGAGATTCTCTTCTAGACAGCTGTTTCTATACAGCCTGAACAGGAGCCAGGAAGAAAAAGAGAGGCTTTTCACTGGCTTTGTTCTTGCTTTTGCTTATTACCGAAACCATTTGTAATTAAATGTGGACTTGCTCACTCAGCCCAGCTGTTGGTTTTCTGTTTGATCCTGCCTGAAATTACAGTGGTGGATATTTGACCTCCTAGGCCTTTTCATGCCTTGTAGGCTGGTATAAACACCGGGTACAATTTGCCTTTGAAGCAAGCAGGCACCGCTGCCACAGAGTTCAGGAGGTGGTGTGCTTGCCGACCCCCGGGCTGCTTTGGGACTGCAAGGGTTTGGACCTCAATACAAGACCCAGCAGGAAGAGGCACTGCAGGACAGCTCTGACCCTGAGAACACATACTTGCCCTGAACAAAGAAAGTCAGATAAACTCTAGCCTTTTCATGATGGATGCCTTCCTCCCAGAGCCCTACAGTAGAGCAGTTCACATGGACTGACTATTAAATGGTTTGAAAAGCTTCAGACCTTTTCTTTTAGAAATAATTTACTCTGCTACATGCTAACGTTGGAGTAGAGGGACTCCAGAAGGAAGACATCTGTCCATGGATTCTCTTCCACCTCCAATGTGCAGAAGCCAAGGTGGCAATCTCTGTAGAAGGATAGGGATGGTGGGAGAACCTGGTGCCTCTTTGCAGCATCTTGACATGTTACTGTAATTTCTGAGCTGACCTTCTTCTCCCGCCTGGCCCATCCTAGGAGCTACTTTGCATCCAAAGTTTTTTCTTGCAAAAGATGCTCTTTCTGTGTGAGCTGGCTGGATCCCTTTGCTATTATGACCAATACTAGTTACTTGAGATCATATGTGGACACTGATGAGACAGGCACAGACTCTCAGTTTTTGGAATCTTTGGATGATCCAGAGCAAGTACTGCAGTACTTGCATGCCTCTAGGGAGCAATTTCATTTCATAACAATCCCATGGGCTTTTATTATTCAGAAAGCAGAATTTACAGTCTTCAGCTCAGTATCAACTGCAAACAATTATTTAGCTAAAACTGGTGGACATTTTTCTTGTACAGAATGAGTAAAGCAAGTAATCAAGACCTTTGGGGGAGCTGGAGTTTTTTCAATAGTCACTTAAGCATTTTAATAGTTCTGCTCTTCCTAGTGAATTCAAATCTTCCCATCTTTCTCCTGCTCTTCCCTTAATGTGCTCCAGAGAGTGCTGTTCTCCCAGACGGAGAGATCCAGCCCCCTGCACCACAGCCAAACGTCTGGGTGTAGTAGCACATGACACACTTTCCTGTGAACATGATGAACCAGCTAGGGGCAATACTCTGTGCCCAAGGGTTA